TATTTTTATTCCGCATTGATAGGCTTACCTAGTCTTAAAGACTAGATGCCATCACGATATCCTACGAAGGGAATTTGGGGTCGTGACATACCCACTTCAAAAGATCTGTACTTATAAAATATCATTAGGACCCGAAATAGAAGATGATAAAGAACAAGCAATCACATAAATAAAAATAAGACGAAGAAGCAAACATTTGTACATAATAATAAGAAGCAAAATTATTGTGTTTCTTCATTTTTTTAAGTAACAGTTCAAAATTACAAAATGAATTAATAAGAAAAGAAATGAATATAAGGAAAGGGGAGAATGTTAAATGAATTGTGCTAGTGGAAAAATGCATGTCTAGATTTATACAAGTATCTTTGTAAAAGCAACTTGCTAACTACTAAGTAACCAAAATAAATAAATAAAATATAAATACAAATAGAAGAGAGGAAAGTAAAAGGTGTGGGGAAAAAAAAAGTTTCGGGGAAGGAAAAAGTTACATTGGGAAGGGAACTATACCTTGGTTAGAGAAAATCAGGGGTCCAAGAGGAGGAAAATCTATGTATTGAGAAAAATGGCAACAACTTGTCAATAAATTGGGCCTAAAGGCTATTTCGGGTCAATGAGAAAAACACGGGCTAATAAAATTTTTGGAGGGCATAGAGCGTCATTTACTCAATTATCTTATCCCTCCCCCCTAATAATTTAGGAACTCTTTATCACAGAAACGCTTATCTTTTAACAAGTAAATGGTTAATTACCTAATGATAAGAAAGACAATTAAATTGTTAGATCCAAGCACCACTAGAATCACTCCCAAAAAGGAAGAGTTCAAAGTAAAGCAGAACTACGTACTATTTAACTCACGCTACAAAAAGAACTGGAATTAGCTACGAACGTCGTCGCTAATCTATCGCTAAATCTCCCGTAGCTAGCAGAATTTTTTGATAATCTGTCGCTAATCTGTCGCCAAATGAGATTAGTGATGAATTTTTCTGTTTAGCTACAAAATTTGTCCGTCGCTAAAATCAGGTTTTTTAGTAGTGTCAGATTGTACAAGTTGATTATATTTTAATTTATCCTTATTTTAGTATTAGATTCGGGAAATCTCAAACGTAAATCGAGATTTGGTTCGAGTTTTGACAATTTGAGAGTGACACGACATGTAGAAAGTTATTTTCTTTATTAATTAAGAAACTGGACGAAGAAGGTAGAGTTTTGTTGGATGAGGGGCTTATCCGTTAGAGATGGCAGACCTACTTCCATGATCTTTTGAACGAGGAGGGGGACATGAGCATTGTACTGGGTGATTTGGAACTCTCCGGGAGTCATTATGACTTTCAGTATTGTAGGCGGATTAGAGTTGATGAGGTTGAGAGGGCTATGTGTAAGATGCGCAGAGGCAAAGTGACTAGACCGGATAAAATTCCGGTGGAGTTTTGGAAGAGCACAGACAAGGCAGGCTTGGAGTGACTCACTAGGTTATTTAATGTCATTTTAGAACGAAGAAGATGCCCGGATAGTGGAGGTGGAGCACGATGGTTCCTGTATACAAGAACAAGGGTGATATCTAAAATTGCAATAACTATTGGGTATCAAGCTACTTAGCCATACTATGAAAGTCTAGGAGAGAGTGGTAGAGCTAAGGGTAAGGAGGAGTGTGTCTATTTCCGAGAATCAATTCAGGTTTATGCTGGTGCGTTCGACTAAAGAGGCTATCTACCTTGTTAGGAGATTGATGGAGCAGTATAGGAAGAGGAAGAAAGACTTGCATATGGTATTCATCGACTTAGAAAAGACGTACGATAAAGTTCCAAATGAGGTTTTGTGTAGATATTTGGAGGCTAGAGGTGTAGTTGTTGCCTACGTTAGAGTGATTAAGGACATGTATGATAGAGCAATGACCCGAGTGAGGACAGTGGGTGGAGATTCGGACCATTTTCCGGTCATGATTGGGTTGCATCAGGGGTAAACACTCAGCCCTTTTATGTTTGCCCTGGCGATGGACGTACTAACGCACAACATCCAAGGGGAGGTGCCGTGGTGCATGCTATTTGCAGATGATATTGTATTGATTGACGAGACGCGAGACGGTGTGAACGCGCAGTTGGAGGTATAGAGGCAGATCCTGGAGTCTAAAGGTTTCAAGTTGAGCAGAACCAAGACAGAATACTTAGAGTATAAGTTTAGTAGTGAGACTCAGGGAGAGGAAGGGGAGGTAAGGCTGGACTCGCAAGTCATCCCTAGCAGAGGAAGTTTTAAGTATCTTGGGTCTATTATTCAGGGGAATGGGGAGGTTGATGAAGATGTCACACATCGTATTGGTACGGGATGGATGAAATAGAAACTCACTTCCGGTGTTTTGTATGACAAGAAGGTTCCACCTAAATTTAAAGGAAAGTTCTACAGAGTGGTGGTCAGACCGACTATACTGTATGAGATTGAGTGTTGGCCAGTCAAGATCGTTCATGTCCAAAAGATGAAGGTAGCAGAGATGAGGATGTTGAGATGGATGTGCGGGCACACCGGCTTAAATAGGATTAGGAATGAGGTTATTCGTGACAAGGTGGGTGTGGCCCCTATTGAGGACAAGACGCGGGAAGCACAGCTTAGGTGATTTTGTCATGTGAGGAGGAGGAGCACATACGCCCCAGTGAGGAGGTGTGAGAGGTTGACATTGAAGGGCCTACGGAGAGGTAGAGGTAGGACAAAGAAGAAGTAATTAGGCAAGACATGACGCAGCTTCAGTTGACCGAGGACGTGATCCATGATAGTAAGGTATGGAGGTCGATGATTAGGGTAGTAAGGTGGGTAGTCTAGAGTGTTCATAACAATAGTATTAGTACGCTATCTCATTTTCTATTGGTAGTAGATTTTTATGACTAACCGTTGTTTTCTTTCATTGTTGATAATCTTACTATCTTGTTGTTTTTATTCTGCTTTTATATGGCTTTTTGGTGCTATTCCTTCTTGTCTATATTTTTCATTAATGTGGTGCTCATGCTTTCCTGAGTCGAGGGTTTATTTAAAACATCATCTCTATCCTCACAAGGTAGGAGTAATATCTGTATACACTATCTTCCCCAGACCCCACGGTGTGGGATAATACCGAATAATTGTTGAACTGGTAGATGTCAGTTTAACCTTCACCCTTCTATAAAATAAGGTGCTTTACAAAGAGTAATTAGGGAGAAGTAATTTATCTGATCACTTTGCTTGCCTTCCATTTTGTATATATCATTGTATTCTTCTCAAATTACTATAATACAACTATACAAGGATACTTTTATTTCAATTTTGAAGATTAAAAGAAAGATATTTGCATATTCAGTTTCCAGCACTGCAATTGCTCAATTTTTGGTAGAGACACAACATGATTAGGGCAAAGAAAGTCAATTTTTCATACAAGACAACTCACTTTATTTCCCTTTTTGTGTTCTTCTTTTTCCCATTTGATCTTTACAGTCATGTGCCAACTCCACTAAATGTGATGCAGCACGAAAATCAGAGAAAAATTAAAGGGGATAAGCTATAACTCTATAACTATATGAATAGCTTATGAGAAGCTTGCTCGCGTCATTCAATTGAATCCCTTTCGTTGGAATATTATAATGTGCACATAGGAAAAAAAGTTCGTAGTTTAATGGTAAACATAATTCAAAATTCTCATTAGGTTGCGGGTTCAAGTCCTAATTACGGTATATATACTCTCTCATTTTCTTGAAACTCCTTATCGACCTCTATAAAATGCATCTAGAAACATGGATTTTAATCCACAACAATCTCTTTGAATTTCAAATGACAAATGTGGTATGTAGTTTTGATTTAGACATAGGCATAATCTTAAAGTTGTGTTTAATAGGCATATTTTAGACATATATTGAGTGTTTAACATGAAAAATGTCTCAATTAAGGTATTTAAATGAAAATTGATAACAACTTTAATGACCGCCTATATATTTAATTTAACCTTTAACAAGCACAACATTCCCACAACATGATCTTTTATGGAATACTCCATATGTGGGACATATCTAGTACTTCTATAGTCCTAGTCTATGTTGTTCGGACTCTTTAAAAGTGCTGCCGCACCCGTATCAGATCCTCCAAAAATGCACTAAATTTGGAGGATCCGACACATACCCAACAACATTTTTGAAGAGTTCGAATAACATAGTTCCTAGTATAGCTTTGGTAAGAAACATCAATGCCTTTTATCTTAAGTGCTTTCTTGCCCCAACTTAAAGAGAACTAGCTAGGGTTGCTTTGTGGCTGGCGCAAAAAGAAGGAAATTATATCCTATTGAACAAAGTCATATTTTATTGTCTTTTAAGTACTATTTACTAACCAGTCCTAGGTTTCTTTTCCCGTAAAGGGCATCACGGTGCATGAAGTATCCCCATTCACAAAGGGTCCACGAAAGTGTTGCAGCTCAAGGGATATGATGTAGGCAGCAAACCCTGATACAAGCATCAATGACTGATTTCACGGCTCGAACCCGTGACCTATAGCTCATATGGAGACAACTTTACCGTTGCTCCAAGGCTCCCATCAAATAAACAACATAAACTGTCTGCAGAAAATATAAGTTATCTGAAGCTTAGCTCCGATGAAGGAATATGTGGCTTACTGGAATATTGAATGCTATCTGCTCACTGCTCTGCCTTAGGATATTTTGTGTTGGAACAAACTGAAATATAGCAATTCACAAGTTATCTCTTAACATTCCCCGAACATGTTAGTTAATGTTGCATGGACTCTTCGAAAAAGTTGTTGGGTGTGTGTCGGATTGTCCAAAAGCAGTGTATTTTTGGAGGATCCGACATGTTAGAGAGTCCACGCAACATAGATGTACCAAATTGTCAAGTTTCAATATAAACTGAATGAGCAGATGCTAGCATGCTTCAGCAAAAGGCTATAGAGCTTAAACAATTATGTGAACAGAAATGAACTGAAGAAAGTTTCTATAACCATTTGACTTTTGACTACTTTTTTTGCTTATAAAAAAGAGATCATGACATGACTCTGCTTGCCTGGAGCAGGACCTTCTGAAGCTCATTAGCAATTCCTGGTAAGAGCACTGGTTTACATATAATTCCATTCATTCCAATCTGCTGACATCTTCCACTTACATCTTCATCAGCAGTTGCAGCTAAACCAATGATCAACGGCCAGCTACTGCTTCGAAACTTTTGAATTCTCATTGTAACTTCAATGCCATCTAAATCAGGCAAGTGAAGATCCAACAGGACAATTTGAAACGAGGACACATCGGTGCCAAGAGCACCAAGGCAGTCGTATCCAGACGAAACTACAGCAACAATGCATCCTAATTTCTCGAGCATCTTCCTCGTTACAGCTCTATTCACATCATCAGAGTCAGCTAATAGAACTTTGACACCGTGGAGAAGAGAATGCGAGTGATCAGGCTCAGGTTTGGCTATGGTACTAGATGGAAGAATTTGAAAGCCAAGAACAACAGCCATGCTTTTATCAAAACCTTCGCGATTGGGGACTATCCAGATGTCTCCTTGCATCAACTGATTAACATTTTGCATACCAAAAATGAAGTTACTCTAAAAACATGAAAAACAAAGCTACTTATGATAGTGTGATCCATACCTGAACCAGCTTTTTACAAACAGTAAAGCTCAAGGTCTCCTCAACCTCATCACTGCAGTATCTTTGGGTGCAATGTGGTAATGAGGATGTTATGCCCTCGGGCTGAGATCGTTTAATACTTGTGCAAATTTCAAACCTGATATAGATATCATCATTTGATCTCCTTGTTTTCCAACTTAAATCATTTCCACTTTCCGGGAAAACTCTAAAGGTGAGATACCCGCCAGCGCTGCCCTTCAAAAGAGTTCCAACCATATGAAGTATAACTTGAAACACTCTTCTTTCATCACCCATAACATGATTAGGCAAAGATCTGTCAATCTCAATGCCAATATTATAACCCCTAAATGTACACAAACACTTGGAAAGACAAGCGGCTTCTCTTATCAAGGAATGTAGCTGAAAATGCCTCATCTCCAACGGGAATCTCAAACCACCCTTTTCTGAAGTATCCATCACCTCATCCGTTAGGGTTGTCACGACTTTGCTGGTTTTAACCATCGTATCGACAAGAAGCTGTTGCTCTTTACTTAACTTGTCATCATCCTGCAACATGGAGAGTAGACCTGAAATTGAATGCATAGGTCTTCTCAACCCGTGGATCATAACACTCTCAAATGCATTCCTTGCTTGACTTGCACTAAGAGCGTCCTGTTTCGCTTGGTGCAGAGCTTGATTCTGTTCTATCAACGCGTCTCTCATCTGTTGAGATTCCTCAAGAACCGCAGCATGGGATAGAGCCACGGCAACCTGATCGGCTACAACCCTAACTATCTCGATTTCTTGGTTACACCAAGATCTACAAGATCTACCTTTTCCGCTAGGAAGAACTAAAACCAGGATTGGATAACATTGCGGGACAATCTCAGGAGTTCCACCTTTGAAATTCGACAACCTCAGCAGTGGCATCCTGATTGCTGCCACTTCTCCCGGCTCACAACTCCCTCCACTACTTGCAACAGCGAGTGGAGAGTCTGCGTCAAGTATCTTTACACCATCACTCCGCTTTATCTCTTTTACATCTGAATCACTGGTTGGGATAGGCATACAGGAAAAGTTCCTCGTCGTAAGCTCATGAGTCAGGTTTATCTCAGTTTTGTTCATATTAGGCATCCAAATAGCACAATTCTGCAAATCCAATATCTTCGATAGCTCAACCAAAGTTGTAAATAGTATTGTATGACGATCAAGTGACTTTCGGATCTCTTGTGTAAGCATCCGAACATGCATTCCAGCTTCCGTTTTCTTCTTTATTATTCCAACTTCTCGGTAAAGATCCGAAGCCTTCTTTCGCAACATAAACTCTCTTCCCTTAACTTTAAGCAGCAAAGGGATGATTTTGGCAAGGGTAAAAACAGTAATCCAGGAGATCGCGACAGTGAAGATTTTGGAAACAAGAATGGCAAGCTCAAGCTGAAATGTGGGGTGGCGACCGAAAGCCAAGAAATTGAGAAAATGAGTTAACCCACAGAATGTAATGAATGCTCCCATTTGAAAAAGCAACCATTTGAAGGGAAAGTTACAACAGCTGACAAAGCAAATTATCTCAATTGGGATTGCAAAATAAGGTATTGCAATACAGAGATCACTCATTTTCTGGTACCATAAAATCCTGTCCATACTCCAATATCTCTCATCACCATCACAATAACACTCAGTAAAGCCACTATCAGCTTTCGATACGAAAACTAGGAACGATAAGATAAAAAATCCAGATGCCATTGCCTTTAACATGTCAACTGAAGGACCAAGTCTTCTTTCCATTTACTGGAATTGTTCTTTTCAGCACCAAATGCTGCCTTAATGTGTTATCAGAGACCTAACAAATCCAACCATACATTCAAGAGACGACTTGTCAAGATTCAATTCTTGTTCAACAACACGTTCAAGTACATAGCAAACGAACAAAAAAAGGCAGCCCGGTGCACTAAGCTCCAGCAATGCGCGGGGTCTGTGGAAGGGCCGGACCACAAGGGTCTATTGTACGAAGCCTTACCTTGCATTTCTGCAAGAGACTGTTTTCACGATTCGAACTCGTGACCTCTTGGTCACATGGCATCAACTTTACCAGTTACATAGCAAATGATCAAATTAAAGAAACAGAAAGGCTTTAAACAACAATAAAAAACCTCACAGATGTATATACAAATGCATGCACCAACATCCATTTTCAATGTTGTGTTAATTTCTAAAACCGGAGCCTACAACGCAGTGGCGGAGCCACAGACAAGGAAGGGGGTTCAATCAGGGGGCGTAGAGTAGCGGCCATGGTTTTATTTGAACTCATAACTTTTGACGCGGAGCATAAATTTATGTATAAAAATTCATTAAATTGTAACAAATGGTATGCCTGAACCCATAAATTTACAGATATAATGGGTTCAATGCTAAGAGCCTTTATGGTTGAACACATAAAGTTTAAATCCTGAATCCGCCTCTAGGTTCAATTGAATCCACTCTAATGGAAAATCGCACTGCACAAATAGGGTAAACACCAATTTTTCGTATATATATATATATATATATATAAGTTTTTGAATTCCTTTGACATGAGAGAAGTAGTTGAAAAATTACTTTAGGTTGCAATGTTCGAATTTTTTGTTCAAATTTCAGGCTCCCTATCACATACCAACTATCAATACAACAACTATCCCAGTATAATCCCACAATTGGGGTCTGAGGAATATAATGTGCACACAGACCTTAGCACTATCGTGAGGTAGAGAGGTTGTTTCCAATGAAAATAACAACTATCAATAAATAAAAAAATTGAAAGTTATAACTTTCACAAACTAATACTAGTAAAGACGGACTATATGAAGTCATTATCCACCTCAACCATAATCACCAGAACACAATGATTTGCCACAAACAACTTTGAAATGAAAGTTAAAATTCACTAACAAGAACTAAGGCATGCAAAAAAAGTATCTTTAATAAAAATAAAAAAATTAAAATAAGAACATTCTTACAGTTAGAAAATTAAGGAGAAAAAGCAAATGAAACTTCTCTAATTCTCCGAATATTTTACGACCAACACTTTCTCTTCTGCGTTCCAATGCAAGTTTCAAACGTTTCACTATCCTTATTAAGTAGTAGGAGTATTAGTAAACCTTTTACCCAATTTATTTATATTAATTACCCATTACTGTTTTACTTAATTAGCAATTTAGCATATTCATTACTCTCTCTCTCTTCTCTATGTTTGGTATTATTGTGAAGTGTTCTATTTTCCTTTTTGGTATTATTTGCAAATGACGGTTTTCTTTAGCCCATTCAATTTTTAAATCATTTGTCTAACTATAGGGAAATTGATCAATAATATTTTTTTGTTAAATCTATGAAGAGTGAACGGTATTTTCAGTAAGTCCTAGCTTTATTTCTTTTTCCTCCTAAGCGGCTAAATGCTACAACTAGAAAATATCGACGACTTTTACGAACAAAAAAGTTTTACATCATTTACGTTTTAAGCGTAATTGATCTATACTTGGTAAGTTTTTTACCTCAACATATTCCATTTTCAAAATTTCTCTTCAAAAAAAATTCATTCATTCATCATTCCAAATGTTTATGTAGACACTGAAATTTTAACAGATCAAGATAAATCCTAAATTCAAGATGACTCTTGAAATATTAGGCGTCTATTATGGTTACTTAGTGGCTACTCCACCCAAACTCTAATTCATGCCTATAAATAAGGCTACATGTGTCCTTCAAAGATGATCTCAACAATCCCATAGTGCACAAATAGATCACATATACGATCTCGAAATTCCATAAAAAATCATGGAATATTTATTAGAGATCAAAGACATGTCAAATATGTCTTGCTCAAAGTTCTAGCAATATTCAAGATCCAAATGGAGTGTTGCTATATGCTTCTTGATCATCAAATACATCAAGGAGATGCATATCATCCTATGTTCGAGAAATACGCTGCTAAGGCCCTCGAATTACGGACAACAAATCGGAGGAAAGAATCAAGGGATACACAGAGTTGCAACCTGCAATATTTATCAATAAAATTTTTTTCTTTATAGTTGTTTGTGATTGCAGTTTTATTTTTCTGCACAAATTTATTGCAAACAAATTGGCTTGTAGGCATACAAATTTTATTAAAATTAAATCCGTAAAATAATTTGGATTATATTTTAAATTTAAAATATATTAGTTCAAATAAATTTATTGGGCTAATATAATTGGATTAGTTATATAAGTCCAACATATATGGATTAAATAAATAAGTCTTAATTCATTAGGCTAGCCCATTTAATTGGGCTAAAGTGATGAGTCCACTTCATTAAGCCCGAGATATCATCTTGCTTTGATTGGAACTGGAAGTTCTAGAACAAGTGGCTGGTCACAATAATAAAATTTTCTTTTATTTTTTTATTCGGATCGGATTTATGTTGGCTTCGTTGGGAGGCTCGCGTAGTTTTCGGTGGAACTAGTGAACCACGCGAGCTGGTTAGATATGTGGGACAGAGGGCTCGTAGTACCTGCTAGCGCGGCTACGCAGTGGAAGGGAAGGAGACCTCAAATTCCCACGTTCCAGCGTGCATTATGCCAATAGGTCCCACCTTCTATATGTCAGTCCAATCTCGCTTCCATTCATCATCCATTCTGAGGAAAGATTCTTGAATAACAGGCTAAGAATAGTCTTATAAGTCCTTGTCCGTTATGTATGCTCCAGTAAGAAAGTCCCTATTGAAAGTCGCTTCCATTCTCTCTTCACCAGACAGATAGACAAATAGGCAATCTGATAGATAGATTATGGCTTCCTCACTATCAGCAAGATCAAGTTCGACAATCTTTTGAGGGAGGGGAATCGACTGACTGACAAGGAACTGACAGAAGGGGTAAAGAGGAGTAAAACTATTCTGGTCTGTCCCTGACCTGCTGGATTGGGTGGCCGGGTTAGCACTCCTCGTCGCCTCTGTACCCGAAACAGATGCGCTGCGCTACCCAGCGCCTAACCTTGTCTCTAGAGGCCCAGTTTGGTGCCACGTGTCAAATGACGTGGCACGCCAAGTCAAACGGAAGAGCCAATAGGATTGTGCTATGTGTCAAAATAACAAGGCATGCCAAGTCAAATTAAAGGGCCAATGAAACTGCGCCACGTCTGCAAGTGACATGTTCTGGCCAATCAAATGCGGCCTTGTCACACTTCAATTTGATTGGCCGGAAAGAGTTTATTCTTATCATAACTCTTTCCTCTCACAACTATAAATAGAGGTCTTCATAACCCATAAAAGGGACCAAAAGTTATAACAAGAAGCAAGAGGGAGCTCGTGGATCAAACGCTGCGGATTTCTCTAAAAGTTACCAGCATTCAAGTGTTCTAAGGATTAAAAGATCAAGACGAAGATTCAAGAACAAGCTGCAAGACTTTGGATTAAAAGTACGTCAAGATCAAGATCAAGATCAAGTTTCAAGCACTTGGATTAAAATAAAATAAAATTCAAAATTAAACTCGGAGGCTCTTTTATTTACTGTTGAAAAGAAGAATCAGAGGATTCATAGAGATTATAATACTCAATTATTTGAAATAAAATACTATGATTGTTGCGATATTTTTCGGCCTGATTTTATTTTCTCGACGAAATTTATTGTCTACGGTTTATAAGAAGCACACGTTTATCTTGTTTATTTATCCTTTTCTATAGAAAAAAATAGAATTGTCCATTATAACATGTACAAACAAGAAACTTAACCAGTAATTTCCCTTCTTTAAAATGAAGTGGGATCATGACATATACGAATAAAAAAGAAATTGAGATTTCAAATAATTTGCTTATATATTATTTATTGTATATTCGAGCACATATGATAGTCAAACTAATTATTTTCAAGTAAATTTACCTTAAATTTGTTTCAATGATAATGAATAATATTTGATGTAAAAAAACATCAAATTCAATTAGTAAAATGTAACTGATTACCGATATATTGATAGTTAACACATACTTCTTTTTCTTTCGTATATACACCATACTAAAACATGCAAGCAATTTCTTAATGGAAATGGTAAGATTGTTAATACACTGGAGTCTGGATCCTGCGGATCTCCATTGTTATTATAATTCCTAGTTATATCAACATTTTAGTCTTAATATGGCAAGTGTTAACAGCTTCATAGGTGAAAAGAAAGTTTAGCATTTGTTCCGAATATTTTTGAATGTTAAAGCGAAGTGTTGTTATAAAGAACATATATTATAACATAATATGAAAATTGGTTCCGGAAATAGCTTGGCTTTTATAGTGAAGTGTTGCTAAATAGGGATGATGTTATAGAGAGATCTGACGGTAAAAACTATTGAATATCAATTGATATAGAAACGTAAATCGTAACGAACAAATTACACACCATAAAATCAAAAGATACGGAAAAATCCACCAAATTTAGCACGAAATCGTTGCCATAAAAGGCATAAATCACAGTCTTCCCTCAATTTACAGCATAGACTAAAAGGATTATTATTTATTAGAGTGAAAATAAAAAACAAAAAAAAACCCGGAATAAGAAAAATACTATCAGAAAATTATGTTTTTCGGTCATTATGATTTTTGTGTGAGTTAGTGAAAGTTACATGATTTTTGTGTGAGAAAAAAAAGTTATATGACTTTGGTGAAAAAAAGGTGATAGTTATATGACCATTTGTAAAATTTACTCGGTTCATTCGACGTATGTTTTTATATCATTGCCAGTCGTCAATAGTGCAGGTATAATTTTCCTCAATTAATGAAATACT